CGGCGTCGAGTTGAAATTCGAGACGCGTATCCTCGGATTCCAAAAAATTCTCCGAATCCATCGATACCGTTCTCATCTTCGAATGACTTTAATCGGCCGAGATATTAATTAAAAACTGCGGAAACGTTAATTTGCGCGCTCATTTTTCTGAGTGGCAACAATAAACTTTCGGCGACACACACTTTAGCCACTTATATATATAAAGAAAAGATATATATATATATAAGTAGAAAGTAATAAACTAAAAATAAATAGAATTAGTTGGCCAATATATATATGTATTACATATATGTGTGTGTGTGTGTGTAAGTTAACAGCAGCCTTCTTTCACAAAAGTAAAACGTAAAAGCTTGCTGCCGTTGCATACTTCAAAAGCAAGCTTTTTTCCTATTCTATATATTTCTTTGTTTTTGAGCGAACGGACATATTTTTAAAAACTCCACAGGAATAATGGACCGTTTCTTCTGATTCACGACACGCATGCGTAATTCGACGAATGATAGTTATTTGTTTTAAAGGGAAATTTAGGAAGCTGTAAGCAGTTTCCGTTGATTTGTCTGCTTATACGGTGTTTATGTATAGTATCTGATAATGTAAACAGCATGTCGTACAGTTCGTTTTCGCTAATGAGAGATTTGTTCTGAAAAATTAATTTATGCTCATTTCAGTTGAATTCATTTGCAGCAAGATAGGTAGAAAACATAGTATTATCTCATTATCTCATTTTTCTTTTAGAGAGAATCGTATTTTGTGAAATCTTTCCCAATTTTCAGGTGTCATATTAATTTACACTTCGGAAATAATTACATTTATTTACACTTCGGGATCTGAAGATTGTTGTCCACTGCACATGACAATAAAATCATAAATTTATGTTGCACATGGCATAATTTTTAACCAGTCTTCAATGTGTTGCCATTCGACAATCCAGTTACTTTCTAAGAACCCCTTGTCTATCTTCTGAAAGACAACTATACATGCAGTAAGTAAGTGTAGAAACTACACAGGAGAAGAGTTAAAAGTACCCTTTAATGAACTCGAGGAGGGGGTAACTCAAATCACAAGAGCTCAACTAAAAATTCGAAGATATTAACAAGTAGTAGAAATCACGTTACAGGGCTCAGAAAACTCCTGATAAGCTGCGTTCAGACGGCGGTATAAAGGGCATAAGTGGTTTAAGCCGAGCTGGCGTTGCCAGGTAACCAGTCTGTGCTACGTCACAAAATCTGGCATAAGGCTCGTGGCATAGAGTTCGAAGTTTTTAACTTTATGCCGACTTGGGATAAGCGTCGACCAATCAGAGCAAATTCGCGAAACTTGAATGGGAAAACAGAGCGGGAAAGTTGTAGACACACCCACGCATGCGCAAATATAGCTTCTGTAATTAGGGGCAGCTTAAACCTGTGTCGCGGATGTGAACGAAACTTCCGCATTTTATTCCTTGTGACTAAGCCTCTGTGACATAGATGTCGCCGTCTGAACGAAGCCTTACTTAAAACTGCGTCGAAATCTAGTGGCAGCAAAGTAATAGCTGTTATGCCATGTAAACCAGCAATAACTGCAGAAATGGAAAGCCCACGCTACAGAGGAGATCGCGATTGCCCATAACTCTCTCATTTCCCTCTGTTGTTGCTTATGCTCACCTGTCTGACGTAGTCAGCCCAAGCCCACCAAAATCATCGTGGCAAGGAGCGCAAGATTACGCCGGCCGTTGGTAACAGCCTTGGGCACCTAACAGGTGACAGTGTGATTTGGCTGTTCCGCCCCCAATTTTGATGATTAGCACCCCGGGGGGACGGATCTGAGGGTCTCCTACCGCTCTGCCCTTCCAGCAAACCAAACGAGAGAACTTTCAGCTCGCAGCATATTTACAGTGCCGCCATGTCGCACCAACACTATTACATTTACAAACATCCATGCCTTCTCCGGGATTCGAACTCGGGGCCTTTCTGCACGGCAGAGTCAGCGACGCTAACCACTATAACAGTCGGGCTGCTCATTTCCCTCTAGAACTCAGTATTTAAACCTTTTCTCCTCAAGGTAGAATTTGCATTACTTCACGCGCACTACCAAAATTTAAATATTCTGCCATTGACAATTAGGGGAATGAAGGCTTATAGGAAAGAACGTAAAATTAAATTCAATTGTTTATTTAAAATAAATATAAATCTCTACAACTTGATTATAGCAAAGCACTCAAGGGCTGTCTGCCTATGAGAAGAGATGTATTCATGAAATTCTTTCTGAAAGGATCTGGCTCGTATGTAACCATATGGTGAAAATCAGGAAGATGCTCATGCAGCCAGCTTTTTGCATGATTTGAATCCGAGTCGAAATGCCAGTGATCCGCTATCCTTCTTTCTCAGCCACTTGTGAGTTCCTGGTATTCTGCAAAACATGATTAATTTATGTTTGAATTTAATCAATCTGTAAACTCTTAACAAAGCAAGCAATGTGAAAGTAATAATTCAGACTTTTATTTTGTTTTTAATAATGTATGCAACTGGTATGAATTAAAATATACCCAACGTTTCGTAATTCATAAAAGATCTTTCGGTACTTTCGTCAAATGTGCCTGGTCATATTGCGTCCTGAATGTGCAATATTCAATGTGGAATGCGGAAAATAAGCGCGTTATGGAATTTGTGTAATTCTGTGTTTTTACTTCCTTGTACGAAGTAAAAAGGAAGTATTGTAATCGCGAAAAGTTTGAGGCAGCATATTTCAACGAAAATATCCATTTTGACCGCTATCGAATGCAATTTAACGATGTTTTTGCGTGATATCTGTACGTAAGGACAGAATAAAATACTATTTTCCTTCAAAAAATTATAAAACTGTTTTAAAATTAATTCTGAAGAGAATTTTTCGCGGCGTCTGTACGAACGTATGTACGTACGTACGTATCTCGCATAACTCAAAAACGAGTAGCCTCAGAACGTTGAAATTTTGTATATAGGACAGTAATAACATGTAGATGTGCACCTCGTATTTTGGTTGCAATCGGCCGCACCAAACGTATATAATATATATATATATATATATATATATATCCACTCTGTTATCCGGCTCAGTGATCTCAGTTTTTTTACTCTTACATGTTTATAAATTGTACATTTTTTGCTTTGAAAATGATAGAATTATGTTGTTTTTATCTTCCGGTTAAGGATTTTATGTCTTTAGTAAATCTGTGTGCAATATTTTTAGAATTATCAGCAATTTTAAAGTTGTTTAATTGCTGCTAAGCCTTTATTAATGACGGCCATTGACGTTTACATTTGAAACAGGAGACTAGTGGATTTGTTGCCAATCTAGAGAAACGTAGCTTCGCAACAACAAAGATAACGCATTCATTTATTATTGCCAATTAAATCATGCTCAATTCTTTCTGGAATTTTTTCGAGGAAATAAGCGTTTGAGATTTACTTCGTAATTTTTAATATAGATATTTTGAGTTTTTATGTATTTTTGCCTTCTCGCGAAGTGAGAACTGAATTAATTAAATGAGAAATACTCAATCGTCTGTGAAAAACTGTTTCTTTTTTGTTTTGTTTGCTTAATTTCTTTTATACATCATTCTAGCTTCATTATAGTATTTGAATAGAAGATGTGGCAACGATTAGATAATCCTATTCTTTAAATGATATAAATTTTGTGCATTATGAGTTATAATATGAACGAAATATATAAGTTAACTGTTGTATAATTATTGGATTATATAACAGTTAACTTAGTTTCCGTTATAAAATTATAAGTTAACTGCTGTTATATAATTATTAATACTGTTAAGTGAATCTAGCGACAGAGTGTCGCTATGGTAATCATATACTAGAGTGAATTTTAAAGAATGCATTTATTCTATTGTGGTTTATGCGCTGTCGGCGAAGTAGATTTAATTCAATCCAATAAGTTTAAATGAAATGCAAGAAAAAATGCGTATAATTTAATATTCCAATAGAAGGAAGTCATGTGGTGTACACATCAGATTTTTTTTATTACGTTTTTGAATGAAGCATACCGAAAAAGGACATATATTTACAAAAATAATCATAAACTTCTTTGTTTCTTAAATCATAAATCATAAACTTCTTTGTTTCTTACTACATCTTTCTGCTAAAACACTTCATGGCGTTCTGATTTTTATAAAGTTTGTAATCTTGGAAGGAAAATGCTAAAAATTATCTTTATCACCAATCTGTAGATACTCATCAGCAGTCTAGTTCTTTCTGTAGATTTCTCAATTTTCAACTACGGAAAAAAAGCGTTCACATGTAAATGTAAAACGATTCAGCTTATTGCATAACTTTGTAACTGAGGTTATTTATCTTTTGTCAAGGTTTAATAAAAATTAATCAAATTTGCATATCTTCAAATCGTTGAATAAGATTTATATCACATTGCAAATCAATTAGCTCCATTTCCAGATTTTCCGAAGCGTTTCTAACGTTTGTTTTTATTAATGAAGATGATGTAAAATTGGGTTCGATTAAAAAATCTTAAACTTTTTTTGAATTCTTATAATAATAATGCTAATTAATTTACAGAAAATGTATTAGCGGGCCTCAAGTTTGAGACCAATAATTGAAAATTTATGAATGATATATTATTTAATGAAACGAGCAATTTAAATGCAATAAACGCACTTCTTAATAACTAAATTTTTTATTTTAAAATTCAGTAATGTATCTAATTGAAATCAATTAAAATGCATTTATAATTCAGAACTTCTCCAGTTAATTATTTTTACGAGCATTCGGTACGTCATTATTATATAGAAGATATTTTTATTATGATATATTCTGTGCCTCAGCTCAAAATTATTTAATTTTTTCTTACTATTTATTTATTACCTAGCAACAGACACCAATGCTAATTAATAAATGAATCATAAAATGCTTGTAATGACATTCTTGTACTTTGCTAGGACTGAATTCAGAATGCACAATATCAATGTATAAAGTAAATGCTTCCGAAGTCTCATTTTTCTTTTAATTTTGCAGTTCGCATGCATTGCGAAGCGACTTCTATGACGGCCATAGTGAAAGTGATTACGCCGTTCCGAGGTCGTCTGTACGCTTTAGGCCACCCATACGAGTGCTACGAAGTGTCTGTCAGGGCAAATGGCGAAGTGGCACTCACTATGCCCTTGCACGGACGAACTTGTGGAACAAAAAATCTGGTAAGATTAAATCTTTTACTCGCTAGTTATATTTTTTTCTTTCTTTTGATAATAATAGTTCAGTTTATGCTCTTGTAATGCAGTTGTTAAACGACTGTTACGTTGTGTGGAAATTCAAAGTAAAAATAATAATAATAATAATAAAAAACATTAAGTGTGTAAAACAAAATCATTGCGGACCGTTATGTTTAGCGTTAGAAATACCTTTTATGAATTCTAACGAGGTTGTATGTATTCCATAGGAACCATCAGTTGGTATCTTTTAAACGCAAGGAAGTAGAAGATATAAAAAGTAAAAAATAATAAGAACGAAACTAAGCAAAGGATGCTTTAATTCATATTAATTTTAATGCTTTATTTCAAACACAGTGTACTCTCGATTATCTGGGATAATGCCGGGGAAGCAGGTCACGAATAACTGAAAAACACGAATAATCCGAATTATAAATTTTCATACATATTGTGCGCGTTTATTTAAAAAGCAGTCATTTTACATAGTCTTTGAAAGCGTTAAATATTTGTCAAATTTCACAGAGTATTTTTGGAAGTGCCTTTTTATCATTGTGTTCGAATTCCCGTTGGTTAAACAAAGTCCAATAGAGTTTCAGCAGTAGTCAATGCTATCTCGAGACTATTGTAATTGTCAGTACCTTCTTCAAAATTGTAGGGTTGGGGAAAATGCTTTAAGTTTTAGTGTTGAATTTCGGAAGTTGTTTCATTTTTTGGACATTTCCCGTTATAGGATAAAGTGCGCGAAACAATTTTGTGTAGAAAGATATATGCACCAACTTGATACTTTTATTGAGAAAACATACCTTCGTCGTAAGTTCACATCGGCTGTAATAAAACTTTTCTGAATATTTACGTATATACCTTAGGTTAGTTATTTCAGTAAATTTAAAAAAAAAATATGTAAAATGCAGCGCTTAAAAAACTTTTTATTACCAATAGATACCTTCAAAACAGAAACAACTAACCTTAAAGCAAATTAGAAAAAACATATTAAATTTAACGGTGGCCAACTAGCAATGTTAGCACGTAAATTTTGTTTGTGTAAAAAACATTTTTGCCACTTGTCCTTATAATGGAAAAAATGAGCCCAGTTTTTCTTAATCGCTTATAATGAACTACATGCCATACATAATGTGTGAAATCTAATGAATTAAAACTAAAAGTTAACTAGTAAACAATTGCTACAGGAAGATATTACCAAGGTGTGGTACAACACAATATATGACAGAATTATAGCTTTAAATTACGATATTATTTTATAATTTTAATAAGTGTTTATAAAAGTGGTATGGGCCAAAGATTAAATTTTGATTCTTATAGATGTTAGTCATTAATTCAATTATGGCTGTTTTATCTGTCTCTAGAGATCAGTGGTTCTCAACGTCTTTTGCCTTATTCACTTCTTACATCATTCTAAAAGATCATTGTACCCTCTCCTTTACTGAACTAGAAACATTCATTGACATTTATTTAGATTTAGCTAATTTTTAACGGGATTTTTTAAATTAAATTTTCCCTCCTTCCAGCGTACCTTCGTGGTGTCGCCGATAGCACACTCCGCACATATTCGAGATGTCCAGGTTCCAGTCCTGCGAGAGCATTGCACATTTTTCAGGTCTTCTATTTCAAAAATCTAATGACTCTACAAACAAAAATATAGAAAATGTTGCAGGATCAAAACTTGTATAAAAGTAGTTTTTTATATTCATAAAAGCTAAAACTAAATATTTAATGTCTAAACAAAATGCTTACCCTCTGAATTACTATGAAATTCCTGTTGCTTGAGAACACCTGATCTAGAGGAATGAGTTTTGCTATTGATTTTCTTGATATATTCTTTGAAAGGAACTCATTCTATTTTTCTTAGAAATGCATGCAATAAAAAAAGCGTTTTTCACGTGACATTTTGTAGTGCATGTGAACGACGGAATTCAAAATAAATATTGGAATTATAGCATATTTTCATTTCATATAGTATTTTAGAAAGCTTCCAATCGGAATTTTGAAGTTCCTGTTTGATTTTACATACAACACGCAACAAATGGTGGGAGGACTATGTTTTTATCTTTTGAAATATTTCCATGTTTCCTTCTAAAGCATTCTGGTTTATGACACTCAAAGGTTAAGCTGGGATTTAAAACATCAGTTTCAGTGTAATTCCTTCCCTTGCCCGCCCGCGATTTTCTGTTCATCGGATTGCATTCTGGTTTTTCAAGTACCTACAAACTTAGATTTATTACTTTGTTACGTTACTAAAAAACATTTCATTTTACAGAAATAAGAGTAGCATTGGTTTAGCCTTTTTAGCTGATACGATTTTTAACAACTGGTGCAAACGAAGTCAAGTTGTACGTATGTCTTTCCTTCCAAATATTTCTGAAGTTATTGATTAGCTCTAAAAGACATATTTTTTTCGCATTGCGAAGTTTAGTTACAATGCGACCTTGTTGGTCCCAATGCAAGGAATTTCCACTTCAACAGATGTATGATATTTCTTTATATTTTTCTTGTACTTGGGATCATTTTATGGTCCCGATGTACCAACGAATGAGAAAGATCTTATGATTTTGATTAATTACTGAGAGCCGTATTATTCACGTTGCATGTAGTTCGCGTTTCAACAATTAATTTCATAAAATGGTTGAATGATATGCAGCATATTTCAGCATAACAACAGTTAGCACTCAAGGAGAGAGTGTAAATGAATAGGAAAATTGAGCAATGCTTTCGCTGGGACCCGAACTTGGACCTCTCAAATAAGCGCCGAGTGTGCTACCATTACACCACGAAGGCATGCTGAAAGAAGGGAGAAAATAACTTATATAAACTGAACTCAGTGGAGCCACAGTCCTAGCGGGCCATGGCCTGCAGTAGTCCGATATCTGCTTTCCGGACCGTGTACCCCAGGGTGCATGAGCATATGCTGTGGACAAGTGGTCAGCTTCTCGCAAGACCCCCACCCCCGGTGTTACTTTATATACTCTTCCTTTTAAAGGACGATTGGGGATTAGGGGATACAATCGCCAAATCCTGGTGGTGACAAATTATTGATTAGCACCTTTTATTTCGGGCGCCACTGTAGAAGTATTAGGTTCTATAGAATAATTAATTTAGTCCCCAGTCTTTAGAATAATTAATTCAAAACGAAACTCAATATAAAAATTGCTCCATAATTTCGAGATACATTTATACATACACACGTTTTTTATTATTTACATACAACCGCGTTTGTTTAGCGTTTGTTCAAAGCGGATTGGATTTCAAATTGATCACTTCTTTCGATTTCTACTGTGGTAGGAGAAAGTTACATGAAACGCGAAATATAAGATACAGTAGTGTTGTTTTTGATTAAATATTTTTTAAAAACAAATTCGCCTGCTTTTAAATTAATTGTTACCGCTTCTTTGATACATGAACAAAAGTTACCGTATCTAAAATCTATTGAGAAGCCATTATTATTCCCCCTAACTCAACGTTGATTAATCGTCTTATTTTGAAAATTTTAATTAGGTTCAAAAGGTGTGGTTATATAAGAAGCAACATAAATCTCCCTCCGCCATCAAGCGTTCGCTCCAATGTCATGAGTTAGAAATTAATTTCTGCGCTCTAAGAAAAATTTAAAAACTATGCTAAAATATAGTGAGTCCAATGTTTTGCTGGCTTTGATCACATTATTTCTCGTTGCCTAACCGTACAAGGAAAACTGCTACCATTTAATATATGGGCTAGAAAATGAACAAACTTCAAGTAAGTACGAACTGCCTATTGGAACTTAGGAACATTAAATAAATATAATCAAGTGTTATTTCTTTTTTTAATTAATGTGATTATTGCTATTCTTTCTATTGTTCTAGGTGGAAAATATGTTCTTACGATATATATTTCTTACATTTTATACTGTACTTGCAAAAGTGAAAATGAGTATTTTCTTGCAGTTTCATTATTTTATTTCCATGTCAACTAAATTTAATAATTCCTGCCAACTGAGCTTAATAACAATTAAATTGAATCAACGACTTATATATGTTGGAGTTTAGAAAGACATAGAGTTTCGCTTAAAAAATATCCCCGGCAACTTTTCTTTATTCTTGATTCATACACACCAGCTCGGAAAGAATTAAAACTAGACTGAGATGGAGAATACGCATTAATAGAGAAGTGGAGTAAGAAAACGATCTTAAAATAAGCTGTTAGTTAACCTCTTATATTAATATATGTATATTTAATCCTCATATAAAACGTAATATAGTATATATATATATATATATATATATATTTTATGTACATATATATATATATATATATATATATTGTAAATGTAAAATATCTCTCTATCAAATAATAAATTAATAACAGAATTTTAAGTCGATTTTGTTCTAAAAATAACAGAGCAATAATTTTTCTAATTAAACTCTTGCAATTCTGAAAAAGATCCGTCATCTAATCTCTATTGCGGACTTACCGATGAAATCTGAACCCAACATTTGGACATTTATCTGTCATGTGATCTGAAATGGTATAGAAGGTAATTGCGTCGCAACTCCCTCTCTCTTTTCTTCTGCTCTGGCTTTTCAACCCGCTCCATCTCTTTGCCGCTAGTCACGCAGAGTTTACTTTTCTAATTTCGTCCATTCTTTAAAAAGATGCCAGCTGTATAAAATTATAGGGTGCATAGCGCACCCACGGTGATGGTGCGCATTATCAAGGAATAAAATTATGTGTGTCTTCGAGTGTTATTTTTCTAATTCTGCAGTTAAGCCTCTCCAACGCCAATCCGTTGCAACTTTTCACCAAGTCATCTTATTACATATTTATATTAATCTCCCTCGTGATGAAAGCAAATTTAGAAGTACTGCACGGACACTGAGACGCAGAAATACTGATAGTGAAGCACGCAGATCCATGTTGAAGAGGAAGAATTGTGATTGCGTAGTATGCTGAAATGTTGAATCCATAGTGATTAGGAAACATGTCAGCCAAGTAATATT